TTTTTTTGTGTGTGTGTGTGTGTGTGTGTGTGTGTGTGTGTGTGTGTTTTTTAAGAATGTGTCTTACTGACCCCATATATACGTATTTATGTTTGGCTTTATTTGCACATTGCTTTGCACGTTTACTGTTTCATTAGCTTCATACATAGTTGTTTTTATTTCCCAAACTGACTGTCTCTATACAGTATGTAGAAATGGTGAAACATTATTAGCACTTTACTGTTCTTGTTTTGAAGAACTACCTCTTAATATAACGCCATTATTGAACAGCACCTCGTGGCTCAAAGCTTGTGCTGTTTTACAAGGTGAAAGTAAACATCTGTTCTGTTGAGTTGCACTCATTTCTCTCTGCTCAGCCGGACAAGGGGTTTACCATCAAGCGTTCAGGGTCTTTGGACTGCTACCCGCACCCAGGGATGTATTGGATAAGGTATGCCCACAGAGCGGCAGTGTTTCCATGGCAGCGTGCTGGCAGTCTCCATAGTCCCTTTCCTTTCACACTCTGTGCCTCGTGCTATACAGTGGGGTGATGCATTGCTTTTTGCTATTAATGATTTTAAGTTCATACTTTTTGCTTTCTGGTGGTGCTTTGCTGAATTCTGTTTGTCAGTGCTTCACTTTTCTCTTTCTTTGCTCTGTGTTATTGTTTAGTGCCGTTTATCTTTGCCTTCTGAGGAGCTTGGACACTTGAAGTGTACATTTACTACCCAGCATGCATGACACTGCTGGTTATGAGTTACACACTGGCTTGATTGTATTCGTTTCTGTGCTGGATATACTGCAGAATGCAGTGAAAGTGTTTGGTGTGCACATGTATGTGTTGTTGGGAGAGCTGTAGAAACTAAGTGCTGAAATTGATAATGAAAACAGAAATAATTTTTGATTAGTTAGGTCTGGACTCTTTCATTGTGTGCAATAAAAAAATAAATACATAAAATGTGACCCTGGACCACAAAACCAGCTAGGATAGGACAATATTTGGCCGAGATACAAATATTTGAATAGAAAACTGGTTTTCTGGAATCTGAGGGTGCAAAAAAAAAATCTAAATATTGAGAAAATGGCCTTTAAAGTTGTCCAAATGAAGTTTTTAGCAATGCAATGCATAACCCATACAATGTATTGTTGGCTATTGCTACAAATATACCCGTGCTATTTATGACTGGTTTTGTGCTCCAGGGTCACAAATGGTAATGATTTATTTTTGTGTAAATTGTTCATAAAAACATTTTCTGTAATTATTGCATTAAATTGAATCTGACAGTTTACAAAAACAAATGAACATAATATAATATTTCAAACATAATATTACATTCTAAATAATATTTGGGGATTTGGAGTCATTTTTAAAAATAAATTAATACTTCTATTCAGCAAGGATGCATTAAAATGATCAAAAGAGACAGTGAAGGCTTAAAATATATATTTCAAATAACTGTTATCAGCAATGAATAAGAAAGAATGAATTCAGATAGAAAACAGTTAATTTAAAATTTTAATATTTTCAAAATGTTATTTTTACTGCACTTTTGATTAAATAATTGTAGCTTTGTTGAGCATAAAAAACTTTTTTGAAAATCATTAAAAAACATTACTCATCCCAAACATTCATGTATACATTTTGTGTATATATTTTTATTATTTATATAATTTAACAAACATTTAACATAATTAAAAAATATTTTGAGATGTAAGGAGTTCACTATGCTTTTTGCACTGCTTCTAAATAGTTCACTATAATCACCGGGTTTTTAACACTTTAACCACAGTTCAGTCTTAATTCAAAAACACAAGTTTTGATTTAGTTGTCTTGAAAAGTCACTGTTTAATTGTAATCCACATGCAAATGAAAATATGTTAGCCTGCACCCATCCGATCTCTCTGCCCGTTGATTCCTGAGCAGTCATTCACTGTCCCATGTCCCTCGTGTTCCCCAGACCACCCCTCTTGATAAGGAGAGGCAGGTTTTCAGACGAAGACGCCACCAGGATGTGAAAGCGGCTGCTCCCCGCTGCACCCAGAGCACCTTCCCCTCCAGCGCCGCCACCGGGTTCATCTCAGAGTCAGAGGACATTTCCCCCAGCTCGGCCGAGACGGTCCGCTCTCCCACATCACCGTTTTAAGCCCAAACCCGGTCTTGGCAGGAACCAATGGAAAATTATCTAGAAATAAAGGTAAATTGACTTGTGAATAGCGAATGATAACAGTTTTGAATAGGAACGTTTGTTACATGGAGCAGATGTGATTAACTAGGACTGGATGGGCTGGTTTAGTGAGGGGTGTAAAAATAATCTCACACTCTTAGCAGTATTCATCCGAAATGAGAAGCCCTTGTCATTGTTTAAGAGTTTTCTCTTCATCAACTACATTTGGTGCTATAAGAGGTTTTGTTTGTAGACCATCCTATCAGTAAACCGCCTCTCTTTTGCGCCCTCTAGTGTTCGATAGAAAGTAATGCAGCCAAACCTCCCACTCTGTTTCGTTATCACACACATGGCTGTCTGTTTCTACCTATAATAAACCTGAGATGTCTTAGCATTTTTCTTTTACGCGTGTTTTTACCTTTTGTACGAACTTTATATATTTTAAATATTTTAGGTTTGTACATTTATTTCAAACTGATAACTTATATTGACATTTCAGCATTTTCTTTGAGAAACATGTTTTCTGTCTGTCGGTTAGACATTAGAATGTTCTTTCTAAAATGTGTAAAATGCCTGAATAGTTGAAGCTCTTTTTGATGTATGTGGAAAAAGAAAAGCTTGTTTGAACTTAATGAAATCCAAGCCATGGGTGCTGATTTAACATGTATGCTGCTGCTATAATCTCTTCTCTGTAAGTTCAGTTCTGTCAGTAGGCTACCACTTGTCATGAAGATAAATAGATCGTACAGCTACTTCCCAGAATTTGAATTCCTTCTCAGAATGTTAATTTTACGTTAACGAGAGAACCGAATGTACGATTATTGTTTTATTTTAAGAAGTAGCGTAATGGAAAACAAAGACGCACTAAATGTCTACTACTGATTTTAAAAGGTAGCCTACATTTGGACTAAAATTGTGCATATTTGTCTTTTTTAAGTGGAATGTAATATTTTAGTCTGATCTTTTTTTTTTTTGCATTCAGCAGTGTAATGTCTAAACAAAAAGTCAATTTTAATTTGAATGTATGTTGTTGTTTTTGTCACACGATGGGCAAATATGACACGACAGAATGATACCCGTTTCCACCATAGATATGGACTAAAAAATAATAATAAAAAAGGTCATTGTGAATTTTCATCCCACAATTCTGACTTTTTTTCTTTAAATTCTGAGGAAATAAAAGTCAAAATTGCAAGATATATACTCAGAATTGAATGTATGTTGTTGTTTTTGTCACACGATGGGCAAATATGACACGACAGAATGATACCCGTTTCCACCATAGATATGGACTAAAAAATAATAATAAAAAAGGTCATTGTGAATTTTCATCCCACAATTCTGACTTTTTTTCTTTAGGAAATTTCTTGAGGAAATAAAAGTCAAAATTGCAAGATATATACTCAGAATTGTGAGGGGAAAGTTAGTTTTGTGAGATAAACGCAGAATTGAGAGATGTAAACTCGGAAATGTGAAAAAAAAAATCATAATTGTGAGATAAGCTCGGAAACAAAAAAATTTAATTGTGAGATAAAAGATTGCAATTATCTTCTGTTATTGTTTTTATTTTTATTCAGTCACGGAAATGGGCTCCTATAGTAATGATTTATGGGCTCAAAACAAGAAAAATTGTAGACAAATGTTCACTTTTTACCTTAAGATTGTAAGAGACTGTAGTTCATTATACTTTAAGTACCTTTTTTAAAGCAGTTTAATCATAATTGTTCAAATCCACAGAAATTCCAACATAAGGACCCACTTTATATTAAGTGTATGTAATACCAGCCTATTATAACATTTAACACTTATTGTTTTTTTTTAAGTTTTGCTTTTATTTAAAAAATACCTGCATGTTATTACATCTGTATTTATTTATTTTTGTAATTACATTCACTTTATAATTACACTGTTGTCCCTAACCCATCTCCCACCTTAATAGCAGCAAAAGTGTTTTGCAATACATCATGAACACAATTGTACATTGTACCAAACAATTATTTTTCTGCTAGAAGTACTTAAAGTTAAAGATGGATGAAGTTAAAGATGCCTAATATAAAGTGGGACCCAACATAGTATTTAGCTGCATTATATACACAAAAAGTTAGCTATTCAATTTGTGTTACTTGGCCATGTCTGGGCTTCAAATTTCTTATCTATGTATACAGTACAGTTTCATTCCTTTATGTGGTGTTTTGTGGAGTTTGCACACTTACTGTAAAAGGCTGGGTGTGTTTCTCTTGCATGTGATCTGAGTGTGAGTGCTTTTAATATTCATTTGCTATACCGTCAAGACATGTTGACCCCATCTACAAGCAACTAGTTTCAGTGAAGACCAGTCTTGGTTATGTTTGTGCTTCTCGATATTTAACATTGTTATACAGCTTATTGAAGCCTCCAGCATGTAAAGGCTTCAGGTGACACGATGAAGGGGTGAAAAGCACAAAGGCTAAAAGAGTAGTTCTTTAAAGTATAGCATGTTTTTGCTTTTTAATAAAAAATGTATCTGTTGTGTTTGCTCGTCAAAATTAGACTAGAACCCAATCCATGATCAACCTATTTTTCAATAGGATGTAGATCGATTCATTATAATATAGGAAATATTCTAGCTCATATGCAAAATTCAGTGCACAAGCATTGATTACACATTGTATATTTGTATAGATGTATATCCGCTTGTCAATTGTCTTTCCATCAAATGTCATTTAGGCTTGACTTTCTTCCTGGAGGAAGAGTCTTTGCTTCCTAGTAGCATTGAACAGTGGTGCATTCAGCAACAAGCCAAACCTGTGAATAAATGATTCCTCAAGCAGAAACCTGTGTCAGTTTACTCAGAATGATAATGTATAGAAGGAGATTTTCATTGTTATGCATGTTTCCTTCAGCCACAATAGAGCTATTCACACTTGAAATAGTTCACACTTGAAAATTCTAAACCACGTTTCACAATGCTCATATTTTACCCGGGGTTAAAACGTTAACTGACATTTCAGACTCAACATTCCTAAACAGTTAGGTTATCGTTTGCATATTTTCGGTGTCTGTCATTGATTGGACGAACGCAGCACGCGACCTGGAATTATGGAAGGCGGACTAATGTTTGTACTGAGTGGACTATACATTTTAGCGTAAAAAAAAGGTCTATTCTTCCCTCAATTCACGTGTTTCTGTCACCAAACGACTGTTTAGACATGGCGCGATGTTTCCGTGACTGTCCAAAGAACCAGTCGTGAAATTTTAACCACATTGACCCGGAGCAGTTTCATCAGGTAAAAAGCGGTGCTAACCCCGATTTAAATAAGGATGAAACGTTCCTTTACCCAGGGCTAAAAACCGGGGTTAGAACGTCGAAAACCCGGGAATAAGTGAATGTAACTGAAGGAACGTAAAAGAAAGAACTGAAAGTGTTGTTCTCAAATGCACATGTATTTTGGACCACAAAACCTGTCACAAGGGTCGATTTTTTGAAATTGAGATTTATACATCATCTGAAAGCGAAATAAATAAGCTTTCCATTGATGTAAATTTGTTAGGATAACACAATATTTGGCTGAGACGCAACTATTTGAAAATCTGGAATCTGACGGTGCACCAAAAAAAAAAAAAATCTAAATATTGAGAAAATCGCCTTTAACATTGTCCAAATGAAGTTCTTAGCAATGCATATTACTGGAACATGATCTTTACTTAATATTCTAATGATTTTTGGCATAAAAGAAAACTCGACAATTTTGACCCATACAATGTATTGTTGGCTATTGCTACAAATATACCCGTGCTACTTATGACTGGTTTTGTGGTCTAGGGTCATAAAAAAAATGTGTTATATATATATATATATATGTGTGTGTGTGTGTGTGTGTGTGTGTGTGTGTATGTATGTATGTATATAAGCTGCATTTGTCATTTGTAGCTACTCAGTGCAGTACATTTGATCATTTTTTATTATAAATAAAAAGTAGGCAAATACAGTTCTCTCATCACAATGATTCACTAGGACATACTGAACAGTTTTAACTAAAAAGTAACCAACTTAAACACATCTGCTGAATTAGCAGGCACCTTCACTTGCAATGTCAATGTTTCTGATGGAAAATATTCTCATCAAATAAATCATCTGAAATCTGAGGCATTTTAACATAAATATGACATTAAGGTAAACTCATTTTTAAGGTTTTAAAAAGAACCATTGCTCAGTATATCAAATCTAAATGTATTACTGTAAATAAAATGTTAAGTATGGCACCATATTTACTGAATGTGGCTTGGCAAAAAAATTAAAAATGCTTCTTACAGCAGAATATTTCACATATTTGCACTAAAACAATTAAAAATAGTTTAGCCTTTTTGATTCATAAACTGAGTTATAGATTTGATTTACATATGTAAGAGAATCAAAGATGCACATACATAATGTATTGCTTACAGCAGTGATTTTACAATGTTATTTTCTGATTTCAAGTGCAATTCTGAAAGGTGCCAGTAGAACAATTTAAGACAGTAAAGGAATATAACAAATAATATTTAATGCACACCATTCATACTAATAGTCTGACATCATGTGAAAGCTTGGTGTAAGCAAATATGAAAATATTCAAAATAAAAAACAGTTATAGGTGCAAATACCAGTCTAAAAAACCTCACCATTGTCTTTTCACATGTGTAAAACCATGTATAACTTTAAATGATAAAACTGCAAAAGAATTACAATGATATTTGCCCAGATGCAGCATCAGCGTCGACCCTCATTTAGAGCTTGACCAAAAAGATGTCTTTAATGCTGCATACATCAAGAAGTCCAGATACATCTGAGATAAAATACATCCACACCAGACAAACCATTCATCCTCACAAGGAGAATGTCTGAACGAACATTACAGGACGTCACATTAAACAAAAAGCATCTTTTCTTTTTTTCTTTGCAATCATAAAAAATATTTGATGATGTCAAAATGCATAAACACAGGACAAACAGAATTAAATTGCAGAATAGTTCAGAAAGCAGCCTCACAGACAAGTTTAAAAGAAATGGTATAGCATTTACATACATGAGCTCAGCATCAGAGGGAGGACTTTTACTTATTTATTGTTCAGGTAGCTTTTCTTTCCCAAGGGCCTGTAGAAAAAAACCTAGAGAAAGTGAAATATGCTGCAAGCCAGTAGAAAATAAACCTCGTAAAAATATTGTTATTGGTTCTCTATGCAAAGTGTCACGGTTACAGTTAAAATGACGTGAGTACGAGTAAAAAGGCTGTTTTTGACAAGACTATTGTTGGCTCAGATGACAATTAGATCAAATAATTTGTGATGAAAAACTGGCCTCCATCTGTGCTCTGTGCTCTCTCCACTGTCATCTGTCAATTGCTCCTGTGCATTTCTGAGACACGTATACTTTTGCTCAAGCAGCTGGATCTCAGTGTAGGTTACTGCACTTCTCCAACTAGCGTTGTGTCATTTCTTGATCCATATTCCATATCTTCAGTTGCTACATCACCTCCCGTAATGGCACGTTACCGCCCGAGGCTGCAGCTGGCTGTCACTGGCTGATCACTCTCAGTACCCGTTCTGATGCTCAAAGTGCCAGCGGTTAAAATCAATGTTGAACGCCACGATGCTGCCAGACGCCATGCCTGTGATCAGAGTCCTGGAAACATGGAAAACGGAGTCAGGTTTAAACCAGTTTAGGATTTGTTTGTACAGTTTGTCTCTGCGTGGTGAAAGTGTAAACTTGAGTTTGACCTCTGATCGTGTGACAGGTCCATGGCTCGGATGCCGGCGTCACAGCCGGGGTAGACGTACAGCTGTTTGAATTCACAGGCCTGCCAGACCTCCACCACCCCGTTATCTCCTCCAGTCACTAGATTCTGCCCATCACTGCTCAGGAGGATGGCCTGAGGAAATACAGCTCAGAGTACTGTATTTTCAACTTTAGCAACCTACTCTACCATTCAAAAGTTTGGGGGCATTTTTTTTTTTTTTGAAAGAAAGAAAGAATGAAAGTAATACATTTATTCATCAAGGACACATTAAACCAAATAATAATTTCAGTAAAAAGACAATTATAACGTTCGAAAATTTCAAATAATTGCTGCTCTTTTGAACTTTCTATTCAGCAAACATACTGAAAAAGTATCGAAACTTGCACAAAAATATTAAACAGTATTTGTTTTCAACATTGATAATAAGAAGAAATAATATTTCACAATACTACTGTTTTTACTGTATTTTTTTTTTTAAATCAAATTAATGCAGCCTTGGCAAACATAAGAGACTTTAAAAAAAAATAATACAGTTACAAAATCTTACCAACCCTGATGCTTTAAAAAAATGCAAAATATAATAATAATTTACATTATATTACAAAATTTATATATGCTTCCAAATTATTTTAAAACTATGCAGTTATTATTATAAAATAATATATAAGGACATAAATATAATGTAGTGTTTAAAACAATTAATAAAAAATTA